GTTTGTAATGTAACTATTGATTGTACTCTGTGATACTGTGAATACGTATACAAGTATTTCTTTCGAAAATTCTATAACTTTGAAGTGTTCTATTTGGTTAAAATAAATTTTGATTAACTTATCATCGGACCTGTGTGCATTCAATCTATTACCTGCCCGTACGCACGCAATAATATAAACCCACATTTAGTTATAAATTAGTTTTAAAACTTGACGCGTGCACATATGTCAAAGAGAATGACAGGCAATGCTTTGCGAATCTAAACAGTTTTCTAATGGAAATGAATTCGATTTAGATGACCGTGTTAAAAATTATACAGTGCAACATCTTTTTCAATTGAAGAAAATTATAAAGGAATATTTTCCAGAAGAAAAAAACTAAGTATGACTGGATAAAAGATCCGTTCCGATAAAAATCAGAATGCTGGCCAATGAAGGAAAGAATAACAACTTATCGCACATTAAAAGATTCTAAGTTAAAATCCAAATTTAAGCAAGAGCAGTTCCTGAAGTTTTGGTTGCAGATTCGTGAAGAATGTCCAGAAGTTTCTCACCCAGCTATAAACACCTTAATACCATTCGGAGAAACGTATTGTTGCTTTCTACGGTTTCGTGGATTTGGGGTGATTTATTGCAACACTTGATGGAGAATCAAAACAAAATGTATTCTTCAGTATTTCATATGACAGTTCCAAAGGCGCGTTACAGTTGTTAAAAAAACTACGATAAACACTCTGAACCAATCAGCAACTCAGCCTTCAGGCTATCAGGCTACAACGATGAAGACAGCTTCACGGCAAAGCACTAAAGTACAGATCCCAACTCCGTTCGGTTGCCCTAAACCAGTGTTTCCCAACGTGAAGCCCACGGCCCACATGTGGGAGGGGGTGCAATTCGAAAATGGATTCGCCTAGAGTTTAAGAGCACAAGGGACGTTCAAATTTCCAAAGTTTTCTTCAAGAAGTCGAAATTTCATTTTTTATGTCTAGAAACAAAGAATAATGTAATGTAAAAAAGTTTTTAAATTGTGGTGCATTTTAAATATTTGATAAATAATTTTCGCTGTAGACTTGGACATTTAAATGCTTAGATATTTCTTCCTAAAACCTATCATTCAAGTTCCTATCGTGAACATTTCAAATTTTGAATATTAAAAATTATGTATATGCCAGGGGGAACGTAAGAATTTTAGAGAAGATTAGGTGTAGCATAGCACAAAAATGGCTGGAAACACTGCTCTCAACACTACTAGTGAACTCAACATACTCATTATACTCTTCATGATAATCTAACTATACTCCGCATACAGCATGGTATTTGTAGCTTTTAACCTGCTTTTGAACTGCTAAGAATTCGTTCTAGAATGTTCTTGCTCCGTGTATGGCGTATCGCCTATTTTGTCGCCAAATGGGTGATTTCGCCCCAAATCTGGCAACTCTGCCTTTTTTGTACTTTCTGGCAACCCTCAACCTGCTTTGCGGGTAAGCTATTTTACCGCAGCTGGGTTTTTCGTAACAATATTTAAGTGAAAATGTTTCTCAAAATATGGGGCAACAAAGAAAATATAAAAACAAATTAAATACAGAATATGAAATGTTACAGCAGACAACATTAGTAGAGCTAGACCTCGACACTTTGTGTAAAAAAAATGAAGCACATCCCGGTCACTAACAAAGGTAGGTAACACCTGGAGCACGTGTTAATGCTATTAATGAGTAAGTGACACTAATTTTATGTTAAAATGTTTCAATAAAAATACACCGTTTTTTTTAATTATCTTCGCATAAAGTACCTGTAATATATTGATCTACTTTAAAAATTACTTTATATTCTATTTTTCTAATGGTGGGATGAGGTTTCCCGAAAAAATCTTATAGTTCTAAAGGTTTCGTGAGCCGACAGTTTTAAGACCACTGCTTTAACGAAGTGCTTCTCAGTAAAATTCTATAGAAATGTTATAAAGTTTTCACAGAATTATATAGAAATGTAATTCTGTGTAAATTGTTTGCAGAATCCCACATAAATTTTATAAATCTTTCATAGCATGGTATCCTACAGAAATCTACGAAGTTTTCGAATTGTATTCAAAGCAAATTTTTAGTGTAATATATGGAATATAAAAATAAACCTTTTTATTTATAAGTGTTGGGTTTCTTTGAACGGACATTTTAGCCTTTTCCCTCTATATTAACTCCTAAAATTATGTAACACTTTGTACAAATTTTGTACTTTATTTCTTATAGAATACAAAATTGAAGTCTTTTAAAAGTGTAAAATTAATATGAGTCATAAAATTGCCATATATCCCTTCTTAGTTCCCCGTCGTAGCTTGATAGTAACCAGTAGTTAAATCAGAAGTACTTCCTATCTTATAAGTACAGTAATAAAATAACGAATAAAAGTATTTATAAATAAACTACGGGGCACTATCAAGTTAAGAGGAGAGATGAAGACTGAAAATATACGGGGAAAATACAGTAGCTGAAAGATCGATTTATGCTGTTAATTTTAAAATTTTAATTCCTGAAATAAATTCATTTAATTATTGTATATCTACCCCTGATAAGACGCATGGATTCTTAAATTTAATAAAACTTAACTATCATTTAAAATGCATTTACTTTTATTTAAATAGCGCATCTGCTCTAAAAGTTCATCTATCACATCTACTCTTTCTCATGTCATAGACCATTTCAAAACTTGAGTTAGAAAATTCTATTCAAAAGAGAAATTCAATGCATTCTTTTTAATCCCAAAGTAAACTTTATTAAGTTTATAATGCTTTAAAGAATAAAAAGTCTCCTACAAGGTCATTTATAGAAAATTAAAGAAAGAAAACTTGTTCAGAGTTCTTTGGAATTATGGTCCGATTTTTCTAAAATCTGGATCTGGTATTTTCAGTAGAATTCTATTCGTTGATTCTGCACATATTATACACATAGAACCTTTAAAAACTGTACAAATTTGTTCAGAAACTCCGCTCAAATCTCTATAAAGTATCTATACTTAATCTCTGTAAGAATCTCTACACATAGACATGTGTAGAGAACTATAAAAACTAAATGCATTAAATCTTAAATTTTATAAAATTCTAAAGATATTTGACTGAGCCGACAGAAAGCTGTGCCATGCTTCTAAAAGATTCTGAAGAAGTGTTTTTTACTAAAAATCGAAATTTAAAAAAAAAAAAAAAAAAAAAAAAACTAAATGCAGTTGTATCCAAATAAGAATTAATGATCTTCTACGTCAAGATATAGCAATAACAGTTAGCTTGGTTAAAGCCTTGTTATGGATTACAACATTTGGCGAGCTCTCGCGCTTAGCAAGGAACTGTTTTTTTTTTTTTTTTTTTTTTTTTTTTTGTTCTTTTGTTTTTGTTTTGTGTGAGTGTGTGTTTGTCATTTATGAAAAAGTACTATTAATTCTCGAATTGATGAGCTATATGATTTTTGATTATTTTAGAGATCAAACTTGCGGACTGAAACAAAAAATAGATAGAAAGAAACTCAATAAATGGTAATTACATTATTCATTATTCATTTGTTATCTTACTTTAGATCACGATTGTTATTATTGCATTTTACCTACAGCTTACCACACATGGATAAAAACATTTTAACTTGTTTTAACTAAGATATGTGACCTAAGTTTGTAACTCGATTTTATGATTGCGAAAATATATGGAAAAGTTATAACCCTTATTCATTGCCATATTTTATGATAATGCAGTTGCTGTAGTAATACAACAAATTTTCAGACAGTTTTTTCTATCAAATGCTAATATTTGGTATTAGCTTTATTATTTAAGTAACGACTTCGCATTATTAATAACCGCTACTATGAAAAATGTGAATTTTTCATATTTATGTTCTTAAGTATCACAAAAACTTGAATATTTTAATGTGTAAAATTAAAAGGTGTTTTTTTTTTTTTTTTTTTTTTTTTTTTTTTTAAAGACGACAGTAGTCGTCAATACATAATATCGCTTTAATACTTTAACGTAGATTGCAACCGCAACTGAAAAATATTTTGGCACTTTTGTGTTAACGGGACGCCAGTCACCAAATATGCGTCAACATGGCAAATATAATAGCCTGTTTATTTCGCCTCTGTAATATGCAATGCTGTCGTTACGAGCAAGTGGGAAGAATGAACTTTACTCTAGTAATTTTCTGTTATAAATATTCACTTGCTTTTGTGTTGAAGGGCAGATAGTCATTTTTCGTCGAATTTGTGTACCGGATGCCGAATTTATATATAAAAGAAAACAGATTGCATATGTACATGCGGAGAACAACAGTTTCCTTCTTGCCATGTACACAACGATCTATTATCTCCTAAAAATTAATTAATTGCGCAGATTTCATATCGCGCACAGTATTAGCATAGCGCACATGAAATATTATATTGTATATTATATTCATCATGTATAAAATAGTTATTATTTTCATGAAGCTGTACGTATCGATAGGGTGACGCTCAGTCAGTGTAGTGGGTAGTGGCGCCCGAGTTTGAATGCCGGAAAAGGGATAGATATTTGTGTGGAAAGGGGGCGAATCGAAAGTCCTCTCCAAAGGTTGTAGTAGGGGAAGAGGTTAGGAGAGTCTTGGATCGCCCCCTAGAATGTTCTCCCTCAAAATTGGGAAGGAAAATTAACCGTAGATTTATATATGGTATCTCAGCGATACCTAATATAAATCTATGGGAATGCCACAAGTTTCTGCCTTGCCTCAACCCGTACCTGTATCATTAGGGTTCGCTCCAGCTTTTACGTTTGGCACTAAATGACGTACCGTTTACAGAAAATAATCAATACTTTTCTACAAGTTTATTCGAAAAGTGTCACTTTAATTGGCCATGTAACTTCTGCAGTTATTCTAAAGAAACAAATAGTCAACTATAAATTCTTAAGGACTAATTCGAAAACATTGCTATTAAAGTAACACACAAGAAATTCTCCCCAAAAGCGGTGAAAATTTATTACTAAACGATTTTCTTACCTTTTCTTCGCTAACTTCCGAAGTAACGGATTCTGATTTCATGACGGACTTGGACATTTCTTCAGAGCTGGTTTCGCTTTTGGACATGCTTATTTCCTCCTTTTTAGAAACCATCGACATAGATTGACTAGACTCTTGGATGTCGACCGAAGAAGACACCTCCAGCTTCTTAGACGAGAAGCTGTCTTCACTTTCCATCACAGATGCACTCTTTTCGACGGATGACATTTTTAAACCTTTAAAAAAGAACATAATTAAAGATATTTTTTTCAATACAATCAATAATCTTAAGTACTTTTCAAAACGTTTATAACAAGTAATTACAAAGCGCTCGAACCTAAACGAGGACTTTAATAACAGCGTAAATGAATTACAATTTAATATTCTAGATGAATTTTTATAACTTATGAGAATAAACTAATTAAATTCTTCATCTTCAGGTGTATTAGTCGCCTGGGCGGCCAGCTGGATAAAATAGTTATTATGAGGAAGAACAAATACATAATGATTTTAATGAGTCGAGCTAGTATCACTTCAGGGATTCAGTTAATAATTAACAGAGTTTAAGAATAATAACAGAGTTTAAGAATTGCGTTGAATTGAATAAGAATTGCGTTGTAAGAGTAATAACAGAGTTTAAGAATTGCGTTGAATGCTCTTAAATTGCTAAGTTTGTTAATCAATAACAGACAGATTCAATGCAAAAGAAAAATTCAACATCTTAAGCTTTGCCAAATGGCAGTACACTGGTGAGCGGTAGGTAAAAATATTTTATTTCGCGCAGTGGAGACACCAACACATTACTCTTAAATTGCCGAGTTCGTTAACTGAAAGTTCATGAAATTCGCATAAAGCATAAATAAAAGCATATTCGAAATTCGGAATTTGAAGTACACATATTCAGGTGGTGGTGTTACGTCTGCTTAAAATTTGGTGGTTCCCACGTGCCCCCCATTTTTAAAAAATGCGAAGAACATACAAACATATAAATTCTTCATTATTTAATAACACATATCTTATACCTGTATTATTCAATAGTGAAGAATGCGTATGTATGTCTATAACTATGTATGTAAGTATGCATATACGTATGTATATACGTATACGTATGTACAGTGTTTATACGTATGTATAAAGGCCTCCCCAATATGACAGACTACACGGTTTTTACAGATGGATCTAAATTAAATGGTCATGTGGGGGCAGCCTTTTGTGTGTTCTCAGATGAGAAACTAAGCTTACAATGTAAATATAGACTTTCTGACAATGCCTCTGTGTATCAGGCAGAGCTAGTGGCCTTGCGAGAGGCCATTAATTGGCCTATTTCTAATTCTGTGCTAGATCCTGTAGAAATCTACAGTGACTGCGAAAGCGCAATTGTTTCAATTGCAGATCTTTGTCCAAATAACGATCTAATTAAACAGATGAAAGATATACTCATTTTTCTTAGCGTTTTCAGAGATATTAAACTCTTTTGGAAGAAGAGTCATATTCGTACGATTGGTAACGAGTTAGAAGATAGATTGGCAAAGGCTGCCACTGAAAATCAAATTATTTATTATTTTGAAGTAAAAACTTATTTTGACAGTTTGAAATCCTTGTTGAAAAGAAAAAGTTTGACTCTATGGCAAGGTCATGGCATAGTTTATGGCAAGGTCATGGCTCTATGGCATAGTTTGACTCTATGGCAAGATTCTAAAGGAAGATTCACATATAGTTTAATCTCAACTATAAGTGAGAGAAGATGCCTAAGTGACAAGTATCTAAACGAAGTTTTAACTAATCATGGACACTTTCCCTTTTATTATAATAGGTTTTCGATTAAAAATTGTGCCTGTCCATGTGGCATGAGTAATGTCGATATTGAACACCTGTTGTTTAGATGCTCTTCTATGAAAAATATTGTTCTAAGATTTATTCCAGATATTTCTAAATTTAATACTGTAAAGGATCTAAGTAAAAAATACAGTGACTAAATCGAAATTGTCAAATTTCATAAAATATGTATCTGTAAATGAAATGAATTTATATGTTGATTGTGTTTAAAATTCCCCTGTCTGTTATAAGAAAAACTAGGATGTTTATGATATTCTGTTATTTTATTTCTTTGTATATGTAACATATTTTTATGCATGTAAGTAACATGTGTTACGTTTTGCAACGTATGTAATAATGTACTTTCATTGGTGCAGCTGTTAAATCTCACCAGCTCCTAGACTTTAAGGTCATATTTTAGTCGTTTATTCTATTTAAAGTTATTTCAGATAGTATGGTGGTAGTTCTACTGCTTAATGGTCCTGATTTAGGCCTTGTTTTAGATCTCAATGTTTCATTAATTAAATAGCTCCTTTAATCCCTGTTAAGCTTCCAATGGCGTTACAGGAAGTTCGACCCGTCGTACGTATGTATGCATGTTATGTATGCATGACAAAAAACATTTTTTTCTCTCAGTGAAGATTAAAATATACGTTGATTATTATTGATTCAAAATCATTATTCATCATCAAGGATGACGTTTCCTTAAATATATAGGTAGCAAAACTAAGCAGATGTATATCAGATAATATAAAATCACATAATTCCACGTTAAAATGTAGAGTCAACATTTTTTTATAAAAGGAGGTCAACCAGAAATCTAAAGTTATACTTCATCTGTAAACAAACAAATTATAACATGTCAACCCCCAGTTTGCAATACCCTATGCAGGATGAGCAATAAACCCTTCACTAAGTAATGAAAACTGTTTTAACTCATTTAAGTGTGTCATTTCACGAGGAGATCAAGTGATATCTTTCACTCCCCACAAGACGATCGGAAAAGCTTCACTCTTTTTTCGAGTGAGTGGACAGTGTTTTTTTTTTTCCTCCTCATTTTAATGTCATGAGTGAGATATTACTTGTTGGAATGTCACACAGTTATTATAAGAGGCAAAGGCTTTATATCACTCGTTAGGAGTCAAACCTTACAAAAATGTCAACTATAGAATTCTATAAGAATTCTGTAAGAAAATGTTGAACTTCTAAAGAATCCTTTGGAATTACAGCCCAACTTCCTATAATCTATGTCAAACATGTTCTACAGAATCCCATAAAAATTTTTATATAGCTTCTATGTAGATATTTTACGAATTTTTTGTCCAAAGACTGAAGGACTATTGTTTTCGTTTTGCGATTTTGCGTTGAATCACTATAAATGTCCGTTTAACTTTCAAACTGTTGCCACCGAATATTAGAGTCCTGCATTACAGTTGAAAATCTGCATATGTCTGTTTCTCGCATTGTGATAAAACAACGGTACATAGAGCCATCGAATTTTGAATGACGTAATCCTCCTACGAATATGGGCATGTGGAAGACCAAATTGGAAATTTGGAATTTGTTTTACTATCGATTTCATATTTGGTAAAACTTTAACGAATTTTTGAGTAAAAAACTCAACGATTTAAAAGCGAGCAATGGCAACACTCTACGGCGGGGGGAAAATCCTTTTTATCTCCAGCGGGCGCGGAACTGTGTATCGGAAATTCTAAAGATATGCTCATTTTAAAATTATTTTGCGACATTGCTACTGAACCGAATTTTATGATTTAAGTGCAAAGAACATGATATTTAATAAATAAAGGTAACACACAAAACGTTAAAAAAACGCCCCTTTGGAGGTAATTTAAAATCTGAAACCTTTCACATTTTTTTTTTTTTTTTGTTATTTTATATATAAGTAAATGATTTTAGTGAAATTATATTATCTTTTGAATAATGTAGCACGAAATGTCTGAAAGAGACGAAGTTGTGATGGGAAAATACACTCATGTCCATAAATTAAGGATAATGCAAAACCAGGCAAAGGAAGAGTTAGAAGCAAAACAAATTTGTCTTATTTGTAAAGCTTATTTATTATATTAAGCTTATTTATATTAAGCTAATTTATTATAAAAGATAAAGAGCAAAAAAAAATGCTATATGTTTGATATTATTAAAAAAATTAGCGATTTTTCTCCCTGGAGCAAATTACAAAAAAAAACCTATTTACAAAAAACCAATATTACATGGTTGGTATGATTGTTAATACATTGTATGTCTCCCAGACGATGCAATACAGTCCGTGCAACGCCTAGGCATGCTGAGTATCAAATTATCGATCTGATCTTGGGGGATATTTCACCACTCAAAAAGCAATGCTCTGCGAAGTTCCGGTAGACATGTAGGAGGAGGTTGACGGGCTGCAACTCGTCGGCCAAGCATGTCCCACACGTGCTCTACTGGATTCAAGTCCGGTGAGAATGCTGGCCAGTCCATACGGGTGATATCCTGCGATTGATAGCATTCGCTTACGATGTTTGCACGGTGAGGACGGGCGTTGTCATCCATAAACACAAATTGTGCGCCAATGGCACCCCGAAACAAACGTACATGTTGTTCCAGAATGACGTCCCGATAGATTTGGATTGTCATGGTTCCAATTTGAGCATGCAGGTCAGTTCTGGAACCCAGAATAATTCCACCCCAAACGAGCACTCCTGCACCACCGTAACGGTGTCGTTCAGTGATGTTTTCTTCATAGTAACGGGTACTTGGAGCTCTCCATATGAACGTCCGGCGAGAATCAGACTGCAAGCTAAACCTGGACTCGTTGGAAAACATCACACAAGCCAACTGTTGCGGTGTCCACAATGCATGCTCTCTACTCCAGGCTAACCTCAGTAAGTTGCAGTAAATGGAACGCATCTGACAGGTCCACGAGCATATAGACCAATCTGCCCTAAGCGTCTGTACACGGTCTGCCTTGAAATTGTCGTACCAGTGGCTGAAGAGAGCTTACGAGACAGGTCTGAGGCTGTCTGTGCTCCGCCTGTTTCTTTTGGCAGTAACTGCCAAATACCGGTCCTCATTCGGCGTTGTAACTCTGGGGCGACCTGTGCTGTAACGTCTACTCACATTACCATCATCTTGGAATCGTTGCCAAAGCCTGGAGATGACACTCTGGACAATTCCAAGTTCGTCTGATACTTCCAGTTGGGTACGCCCATATTCCAGACGGCCGATAATTCTACCACGTAAAAAATCATCCAAATGCGTCCTTTGTGTCATAACTATTCGGTTATTGGACTGAAATGCTTATAAAGCGCCTGCGAACAATTTTACTTCTTTGCCTGTATTCCTTACATGTCACTCTCTTACACTCTCGTCATTGTGACGTACCATCGGTGTCATCTGGTTACTTCCTGAAATTTGCATATGATTCTTGAAGATGTGTGTAGTGATTTTACAGGCGATATATTTATTTTAGAGTTCGATTTCCGCGTGACTCCGAATTATCCTTAATTTATGGACATGAGTGTAGGAATGCAAGGCCAAGTCTATTAAACATTGAGTAAATAGCTGTTTCGCTAAATTAACGAGATATCGCCAAGCTGGTGATGGTTTTGCCAACTAATTTTTCCGCCGCCAGATTTGGCAAGAAATCTCCAAAAGCAGCCTAACTTGATGACATTTTGGTCCAGTCTCTGAATAACTGTAATTGATCCCTATATGTAACTGAAACCATATACGGACATATGTAACTTTAACCGTATATGCCTTCCAATAATTTCGAGACAAGGAAGGTACTAGAGATTTATCGGCGGCCGGGAGAAAAACTATATAAACCGGATAGAGCATTTGCTCTCATTTGTTTAGTACAGTGTGAGTTCGGAGTAGTGAGAGATCTCCGTAATAACTTCCCCCTTTTTAGATATGCGTTACATTGGTGCTGTGTTTAACGTTGTTAGTAATATTTTGTAGTGAAACTACTGATTGTACTCTCGGACAATAAGAAGAGCTGTACGAGTATTTTTGTGGAAAGTTCCAGAATTGTGAAGGGTTCCTTTTGGTCAAATAAATTTTATCAAGCTATCATCGGTTCTGTGTGCATTCGATCTATTACGAACCCGTATGCACGCAATATTGTTTTATAGAGATATGTGTAGATATTCTATAACGATAAGTTTAAAAGATCCTACAGAAGCTTTCGATTATTTAGAAATGTCATAAAAACAACAGTTTTCTTTTGGGAGTAAAAAAAAAGTAAACTAAATATTGATTTTGAAATAGAATTTTTTTAACCTAAATTTTGAAATGATCTATAACATAGAGGGAAGGGAATAAAAGCTTACGGAAGAAATGCGATTTTCCCCTACTAATAAAAAATTTCAATATCGTATGATTTAAAAAGTATTTAAATAAAAACAGATACATTTTAAATAATAATTAAGTTTAATTAAAATTACGATACTATTTCCTTATCGGCGGTGCATGTATAACAATTAAAAGCATTTATTTTGGGAAGTACAGTTTTATAACTAAGAGCCTAAATTTAATGTTTTAACTAATTTTATGATTTTAATTGATTTTGTGATTAAAACTTTTATAATTCAAATTGACCGTAAAAGAATACAGTAAAAAATTACAAAATATGTACATAAATTTAGAAGCTAAAAAATGTTAAGCTAGACGGAAAAAGAGAAAATTTTCATTCATAAATGACTCAAACTTCATAAATGAAATAAGTTAAATTATAGTCTTTTCTATACCGCATACTATACCAGTAATGAAACATTTTCTTTTTTTAAGGTTTGAAATCTGTGTAGAATTGTGTCTTCCGAAAGCTTTTGAAAATTTTTTATGAAATTTCATGAAGAAACTTCTCTATGATTACCTACAAAGTCTACAGGAATTTTTATATATTGCCTCTATAAACACTTTCCGCAAGGGAAATGCGACCCTTTGAAACTTAGAAAGTAGGTCTCATAGTTAGTTGTGCTTAGGAAAATGTTCAATAGAAGTTTTATATCAGCTGTTCTCAAACTTTTTTGTGTCATGCTCCCCTTTCACCACTCCCTTTCCTTTCCAAAATCGGGAAAATACATATACATATTAATTTTAATTTAGATTATTTTTAATGTGCTTAATGCTTGATACGCGTATGAGTTTGCTAAATTTAGGTAATTAAATATTTACGTTTAATTTCCTTTCTACTTTCGATTTGCATATGCATAGCAGGAACCACACACAATGTCTGATCAGTTGGAAGGAGCGTAGAAGCTAATTTCCTCTGCAGAGTCGGTGTTGTTTCGCTGTCTTTTCAATTATTTATTTTTAGGTAATTTTCTTTATATGGCTGTAATTATTATTAGCAATTTTTGTATCACAATTTTATGTATATCCGCTATTGTTAGCCATTGCTTGTAAAGCACTTTTTCAATCTGCCGATTTTCCTTTTACTCCTTCAATTACTTTATATATATATATAATATTTAATTTTCAAAAAAAACACATTAATTTTTTTATTGCGTTTATATTACTTAAAAATGCGAATTTATGTAACAGGAATTTATTAGACTTCCAATTGTATTACTTTTAGCTTTATTAGCTTTCTTAATTTACTCTGAAATAAAGAAATTATAACAGAAGCATTTCCCTTTATATTATATATATATATCAAATAATCATAATATAATCATAAAATCATATATATATATATATATATATATATATATGATTCCTAGGCTTTCGCTACTACTAAGATCAAAAGCTATCGTCATTTTATTAGGGAGACACCTAATAGGCGAATGAACGGACAAACAATTTACATCCATTCCTTCTCCGGGGTTCGAAATCAAGCCCTTCGGTACGGCAGTCAGAGACGCTAACCACTTTCCCATCTGGATGGCATATGTATAATAAATGAAACAAGAAAAGTGCAGAAAATGTTGATAAATTCCAAATACTTGAATAAAAGCAATTTTTTATATTCAAAAATTAAAACTAAGATAAATAAAAAGCTGATCGCTTTTACCCCTGAAACTATTAAATTCCCTCCTAGAAGGGAATTCCTCCTAGTTGGTAACTCCTGCCTTATACCTTACTGTGCCTTAATTTGCTCTCATGTAAACTGATACTGAAATTTTATGCGTGGTATGATTACTTTGCAAAGTAAAATAACGGGTGAATTGAATTTGCTTTTTTAGTATCAACCTAATTTTCTCGTAGTTGAAGATATAGAACTCAATTAATTTAAAATCTTCGTTGAAGACACTGCATTATTCCTACCTTTGGAAGAGTCCAAAGTGCTGTCACCAATAGCGAGATCGGAGTCCAGCTTGCTAGCAATGGACGACATGATCCCAGAGTCTCTTGTGGATTCACCGATGGAAGAGGAAATCGAACTTTCCACGGATTCCATTTTACTCAATTTGCTGGAGGAGATGCTGGTTTTGCTGTAGGACTCCTCCACGGACATCTCTGAAAAGAATAAAATACTTTGATAATCCGTGTTGTTTGAGTCTGTGATATAATATGTTAAATCTGTGAACAGTCACAGCAAAGTGATATCATCGCAACAAGAAATTCATCTCCACGAAAACATTCTGTGGCAAAAATTTCATGCATGTTCTAAATGTGTGCTTAGGCGCCCCATCCTGTTGGAGCCATTAATGATCAACGTTCACGTGTAGTATGCATAACAGGAAAAGAGGTAAATCTTGCCACATCCTTATGTAATATTTACTCGTGATAGTTAGAACAACCACGTCTCCATTGTCGACGCAGCGGGACCTTCTTTTCCCTTCCGAAAATATCTTACAGAATTCTTTAAAAAAAAACTAATATTGACCTGTTTTGGCCCAGTTTTATATACGTAGGTAAGTTGAAAAATAAGTTTCCCCTGTCGACTGTGGTCAGAGTTGTGTATGAAAGTCAAAAAATAGAATGAGACATTAAAGATATGACATACCTTTATTTTATTATTCTAGTACGAGTACGTTGAGACATTTGTCATATCGCTTGATAAGCTGCAAAAAGTCCTCCAGGAAAAATTCATGCTTTGATATGGAAGAAGCGTTGAACGGCTATGGGCGAAAGCGCGACACGCAGGAAACGCGCAAGTCACCGATACACCATTGGGTAGAGGTCGCTGCAAATCAAGAGATGGCGCTGTGCAGTGCCTGCGCAAAGCGGAGCCCAAGCCTATAATTTGCGCCCGGTAGGGATGGAGAGATGGTATCGTGGTCAAGGAGGAAGGAGAGCGGTTATCGCTATGAATGGGCACGTGGCGTATCAGGAACAGAAATTCATAACTGCCTCGTGGAAGTCTATGGGCAGTGTGATGTCGAAGCAAATGATGCGGAGATGGTTGTCGACATTCAGTGATGACGTCAGAAGTGGAGGACATACCGAGAGCTGGACAGAGCGCACGGCCACTGCAGAAAATGTCAGGAAGGTGGATGACATGATAGAGGAACCGGCGGTATCACCCTCGATGAAGTAGCGGAAGAACTTGGAATCTCACATGAGCGAGCTCAAAACATCATCCACGACATTCTTCGATACAGAAAAGTGTCAGCACGATCGGTGGCCCCGACAATTGGACCCTCGAACACAAGGAACAACGCAGGGGTCAGCCTGGAACTCTCGGGCGTTACCATGACGATGGCAATGACTTTCTGTTTTCGGATGTGAGGGGAATGAAACGTGGGTCCACCATTTCAGCCAGAATCGAAGGCCGCATTTATAGAGTCGAAACATCCGTCATCACCTGTCCGAAAGAAGTCAAGACAACTCCCCTGCAGGTAAAGTGCTCCTCAGTTTTCTGGGACGCCAGGAGTTTGGAGGTTGGAGCCATCAGTGCTACGCGCTACTGTGACACCCTATCGAAATTGAAAGAACGATTCGGGAAAAGCGGCCTGGCCTTCTCACATCTGGCGTTCTCTGTTTTGAATGACAATGCAAACCAATCGGAGACGGCCAACGAAAACCAATGCAACTTGGTGGAGCGCCCACCATCCGCATCCGTCCTGATCTCGCACAAGGACTGCATTGTTTCCGGCTTGAAGAAGAATTCGGGGGGAAGGCTTGGAGAAATACGAAGTGAACAAGCCGTTCAACGCTTCTTTCATATGCAAAGCCTGATTTTTTGGAGGCTTTTGAAGTTTCAAGCTTATGAAAATGTCTAAATGTACTTGTACCTATGTGGAAAAATAAAGGATGTCATATCTTGTCTCATTCTCTTTTTGACTTTCATACACAACTCTGACCACAGTCGACAGGGAAAACTTATTTTTCAACTTACCCTCGTATAAAAGGTCAAACATCTTCAATAGAATTCTATGAAATTTCAGATATAGTTTTTACGATACAATATGCATGGACATTATTTGTGTAGATATTCTACAGAGGTCTGTGCAGAAATTCTAAGGCCTCCAGCATGTAGAACCTTATATATTGTGTATGGAATCAGTTAATAGAATGTACTGAAAACATGAGATCCAGTTTATAGAAAACTGAACTTTTTTGGCCCAATTTTCCATAAACTAGTTCAAAGACCTTTTATATAATTCTATAAATTTTAGATGTAACTTATATAGAGACATGCATGAACATTCTGTGTGTAGATATTCTATAAATATTTGTATAAAGATTATAAATACCCAGCGTGTACAACCTCATATATTGTACATAGAATCAATTAATAGTATGTATTGAAAATATGAGTTCCAGTTGATAGAAAACTGAAATTCTTTGGGGCCAGTTATCTATAAACTAGGTCAAAAATCTTCCACAAAAGAAGCTATAATTTCTACAGAGACATGCAAAGACATTCTTTGTGTAGATATTCTATAAGAATTTCTGTAGAGATTCTAAATGCCCAGAGTATAGAACCTTATACATTGTGCATAGAATCACTTAATAGTATGGACTGAAAACATCAGACGCAATTTACAGAAAACTGAACACTATTTCTAAATTCTGAACAAGTTTCCTTGCTTTAGCTTTATGTAAAAGACTAATATAAGTTTTCCAGTTTTTAAAAGCATTCCAAAATCAACAAAATCTTCTTTTAGAATTAAAACGAATGAAATAAATTTTCATTTCGGAGGAGAATTCTTTAACCATGTCTGAGTTTTGTGATGAAATGGTGTGGGGGGGGGATGAAACATTGCGGAACTGTGAATTTTTCCCTAAAAATTTTTATTTAAAAATATTTTAATAAAAATAAGAACGTTTTAAGTAATACAGTATATAATTTAAATTATGAAACCTTTTCCCTTATCAGGGGAACATATAGAATGATTAAAAGCATTTATTTCAGGAATTAAAATTTGAAAATGAACAGCGTAAATTTTAATTAGTTTTGTGATTTAAACTGACTTTTCGCTTCTGCAACACTCAATTTTTGTATCATATAGGCAGTAGTGTAAAGCAAATTGTATTACATAAGCAAAGCTGCACAAAATATTAACCAAAGTTTGGAAGCTAAAAGATATTAAGATAGAGGAGAAAAGCCAAACATTTCCATTCACAAAATAATTCAACACTATTGAATAAAATGTGCTCATTTTGGCTCTTCTGTATCCCATGTATTACAGCAAAAAAGAAAAAAATTAAAATTTACTTTGATTACAGTTTGAAAACTCTGCCATAGAAACAAATCATAGATCATTTCAAAATTTAAACAATGTAAAACGTTTCGATTCTAAAATGAATATTGAATTTATTTTTTTAATCCTAAGAGAAAATTTTGTTCATTTTAAAATGCTTAATTTAAATGATCAAGTGCTTCCACTGGGATCATTTGTCACAAAGCAAGGATAATTGTTTTGTATTTTTACTTCCTTGTACGAAGTAAAAAGGAAGTACTGTAATCGCGAAAAGTTTCAGGCAGCATATTTCAACGAAAATATCCATTTTGACCGCTATCGAATGCAATTTAACGATGTTTCTGCGTGGTTTGTACGTAAGGACAGAAAAAATACTCTTTCCTCCAAAAAGTTAAAAAACTGCTTTGTACTGAATTCTAAGAACTTTTCGTGGCGTTTACGTGTAAGTATCTCGCATAACTCAAAAACGAGAAGCCTCAACCGTTGGAATTTTGTACATAGAACTACTATAACATGTAGATGTGCACTCGTATTTTGATTGAAATCGGCGACCAAAAGCATATAAATATGTTATATAATATCCACTCTGTTTACCGGCCTCAGTGATCTCGTTTCTTTATTTTATAGTTTGTAAATTAGATATTTTTGCTTAAAAATGATCGTTATGTTGTTTTATCTTCCGTTAAGGTTTTTATGCCTTTTGTAATTCTTTATGCAATATTTTAGAATTATCAACAATTTTAAAGTTGTTTAAGTGCCGCTAAGCCAATAATTTTTTTGATGGGGCAATGCTTGTTTTCATTTGAAACACAGAATAGTGCATTTGTTGCCAATCTAGAGCAATAGCTTCGCAAAGATAACGCCTTCATTTTTATGCGAAATAATCAAGCTTATCTTTCTGTAATTTTCGAGGAAGAATAAGTGTTTAAGATTTACTTCGTAATTTAACAGATTTTGAGTTTTTATGTATTTTGCCTCGCGCAAAGTGGGAACGAATTAATTGAATGAGAAATACTCAATCGTCTGTGAAAAAATGTTTCTTTTTGTTTGTTGCTTATAATTTATTTTAACTCGTTCTAGATTTAGATAGTATTTGAATAGAAACCTGTGGCACATTAGATATTTCTTTTAATGATGTAAATTTTGTGCTTCTGAGTTAAATATGAACGAAATATAATACTGTTAAGTGAACCTAGCGCCAGAGTGCGCTGTGGTAACAAATAGTGAATTTAACGAATGCATTTATTCTATTGTGGTTTATGCGTTGTCGGCGAAGTAGATTTAATTTAATCCAATAAGTTTAAATGAAATGGAAGAAAAAATGCGTTCAGACAACCTCCAGCTACGTTGAGGACAGATTCTTCATTATCATGTGCTCGTAATTTCTAACTTTTAATTTTAAATATTAATTATAAATGTTAGGTTGTTGTTGTTGTTGTCGTGTCCATTGTTGCCAGAACCTACTCCGAAGAGAGGTTGGACTTCTATTTTCCACGCCCAGTTTTTATGGAGAGCACGCCGGGAGGGAGGGATCCGGAAGTCTCCCCTCCTCTCCCCTTCCATTAATCCCATGGAGGTAGGAATTAAGATGGAGTAGCCCTAAACAGGTTTCTCCCGTACCCTGCTCTGAAGCACCGGCGATCCTTACGTGGTGACCAAAACATTGAGTCATTTACCATTCAGTTCTATGGGATTTGACGCGTTTCGGATGTAAATATTTGTAATTACGTCGTAAATAAAATACATATAAATGTATATATTTTCTTTTCTACAACACTTCAAAGTCCTAAGTATGTGAAAACAACATATTTTTAAACAACTTTCATTCTGAACGGAATTAAATGCTATACTTTTCACAGGACAGTT